TTTGGTTTTCTAGGGTTCTTGGGGGTTCGATTTGGGGTTCGAACGGTTCTGGTCTGATTCGAACCAAACCAACGGTGGTTTGGTGACGAGGGAGTCAGGGAGATGTCTGGTATGAGTTTGGGGCCGGTTGGGGTAGGTTTAGGTTCTACTCGAATCTTCGATTGAAGATTCGAGAAGCTGGAGGTTGATTCGAGGTAAACGGTTAACGGATCCGTAACGAGGGTGGTTAGGTGCTCTAGGGGTGTTAGTTTCATGTCCAATGACATCATTGCCGCCGGGTTTTAGGCGAAAGTGTGGGGTGGTGGCTCTAGGGTTTCGAGGGGTCATCTCTGAGAGAGATGACTGAACAGGGGTGAGGGGGGTTTGGTCTGGGGCGTGGGGTAAGGGATTAGGGTTATATACGGAGGTGGTGGTTTGATCTTGGCCGTTGGATCAAGCACGATCAACGGCCTGGATCAATTCACTTAAAGGAAACGGTGACGTTTGGTTTAAGTGGGGGGGTTGGCTGGATCCTGGTAACGGGTCGAGTTTGGGAACGGGTAAGGGAGATTGAATCTCAGTCGTTGGATCGATTTAATCCAACGGTCTTGATTAAGAGTGACCAAACGGCGTTGTTTTAAGACATCTCTGGCCAGGCCAACTGGACCTGGTACATGGGTAATTTGGGCCTGATTTTTGCATTGAAATTGGCTCAGTTCCGATTTGGTCCAATTTTCACTCTTTTCTTTTCTTTTTTCTTTCATTTTCTTTTAATTCCTAAAAACCAAAATTCCTAAATTAAATTGTAAAAACAAAATTAACTTAGAAAATACTAATTAACCTTTAACAGTAAATATCGCACCAAAATAAAACATTAATTACAAACAAAATCGGTCACTTGGACATTAAATGCCAAAAATACAAAAATATGTATTTTTCGTGATTTTCTTTATTTAAAAACCAAACTATGGTTAATTAATTCCTAATTGTAGAAATAAAAATCCTAAGGGAACATGCAACGTATTTTTTTTTATTTTAATTAATTAAAGTAGAAATAAACATGCACATACAAAATACAAATAAATCACAAACAACACAAAACCATCTTATTTTGAATTTTTAGGAGTAGTTCTCATAGGGCAAAAATCACGTGCTCACAGCTGTGATGTAAACCAACTTATCAAAATGAACTTCTTGAATAGAAAATCTTGAAATTATGCTCGAAATTAAACTATTGAGCAAGTTACCTCGCAAAACACCATGTTGCGAGTTAATAATAATTGCACATGTAACCATCTCATAAATGCATCTTATATGGTATACATTGCAGGTGAATGGGCCCATATTCACCTTTGATATTTCCAGAATTCATGGGATTCAATCCCAACTTTAGTTGGTCAATTAATTAATGAGAATAAGCAATATAAGAGAATTCGTAAAGAACTTTCTAGTTCTTTAATATTTACCCATGTGAATTCTCTATTATTTTTGCACATCATACCTTAATTGATATGACTAAACCAATTATGTCAACTGAATAAATTATCAATATTGATAAACTTCAGATTTACACCATGACGTGTGCAATTATCAATAAACTCCAAGTTTATTATGATATGAGTTTTTATATCAATAAACATCCACTTTATTGTGGTATTCTTTTATTTGTGTAGTACAAAATGGAGAATAAAGCGGGTAACTTTTCACATACATAGTACTCCGCTACAAGTTGTAGTAATAGAAGATATTAAATCTTTCCTTTATTTATAGTCTCAATATAATCAACCGCTTTCGCGTATACTTTAGAAACTAAATAAGTTTCTTTGAGACTTACTACAATACAATACCTTATTGGTAATCATTTGTGTTTCTCCAAAATAGTAATAATTGGCTCTTCCAGAGCTCTCAATTAATTTGGTACTACCACATATTCATCAACATCCATACGGTGAATATCTCTTTTAAAGAGAAAGTTATACCATTATGGTTATGGTCAAAATTATATGCAAGATTTGTTTCTTGCATCATTGTTGTCCTTTAATAATCACATTACCAACTTATTTTGGCGTACAATAGGTACATGGTCAGTGATCATTCATGCCATAATAATGATATTATTTTCTTATTTCCTCTCAAACCTCATTCTAGAGGTGAGCGTGATATATTCACTATTACTAGCACGTTCATATTCTTCCAAGAATGAATATGTATTCATAAATCACGTGTTGTCACATTCAAATCATGAATGGACCATAATCATCTATATGTGCTTTACAAAATCTCATGTCAAATTGATGACAACTATTACTTTCACAAAGTGAAGGATTATTTTGAGAATCCTTATTGTTCTCATTATCACAATGATGACGATTATAATTTCGTCTATTGTCTCGTCCACATCCATTGATACCTTCACGGTAATAATTTTGTCTTCTTTCAGACTTATCACATATTGCTATCACATTCTCTTAAGGGAATGAGAATGAAGCAAATTCAATGGGACGAGTTTAATTCTGCCCAGAATCATACATGAATTTGATCATGGCAAGGCATAGAAACTTTACCACTCTGGATGGTTGTAATCTCTTTCAAATTCCATTAGAGTTACAATCAAAATTTATCGTCTTCGTTTGTATTTTAAATCAAATTATAGAATAAAAGAGAAAAATACGGTAAAATACATATCTTTACATATCTTAAATCCATAATTTAATCACGAAGGAAGTTCATGGAAAGCTTCTACTCAATTGTTTAGAGTCTCGTGCTGATAACGTGTTATGAAACAATAAAAGAAGAGGAAGAAGAGTATTGCAGAGAAAAGTAGGGAGAGAGAACTCTTATTGATTTTGAGATGAATTACAATGGAATAGAACCCTCTATTTATAGGGAGAGGTTGACTTAGCCACCAAGTAATAAACCCTAGAATCTCTCAGAATATGGACATTCACCATAAATAGAATTCTACTTATAACAAATTATACATTACTTGTAAACTAATAATTGAGGGAGAGAAAGGTGATTGGTGACATTTGCTTTTGAGGAATGTTATATGGCTATGTCTAATAGCCCGTTTGGCCAAACTGCAAAAATCAGCTTATTTTGAGAAGTGTTTTTTTTTTCAAAAGTATTTTTCTCAGAAGTACTTTTGGTGAGAAGCAGTTTGTGTTTGACTAATTAGTTTGAAAAGCACTTTTGAGCAGCAATTAGTGTTTGACCAAACTTTAAAAAACTGTTTATAAGTGTATTTTTCTCAAAAAAGTGCTTCTGGAGACAAGCTACTTTTTTCTGCTTCTCCAAAACTGCTTCTACTTCTCCTCAAAAGCACTTTTTTCCTTCCAAAAGCTTGGCCAAACACCTCAATTTTTGGCCAAAAATACTTTTGACAAAAAAGAAGAATCACTTTTGATCAAAAAGAAGCTTGGCCAAACCGGCTATAAAAGTATTACTCTCACTGTCCCAACGAGAAGAGGCGGAAAAAGATTGAGAGTGTTACCTATTTCTCATGTTATATTTTAAGTAGTAATATTTTTGAGCACATCCAGAAATTAGAAATTGAAAATAATATACATCATCATAAATTGAATGTTTTTTGTCTGTCATAGGTTGAGATGGATTGATCCAACATGTATAAAGCTCATAAGTAGATTTTAACAATAATATATGAGGAGTAATTGAATTATTGACTCATGAAATGGAGGATATTTTGAGCTATTTAACTAACACGACTACACTTTTGGGCCAAAAACGAAATCGATGAAGTGTCTCATTTCAAATAGTTCAGGGCAAAATTGGTCATTTTCCTAAGGAAAAAGGATTGGGTGTCGAGTGAATAATATCGAAATCTAAGGGGCCAAAATAAACATTACGAGCTTCTTCAAACCCAGGGTTTTTCTCCGCCATTTTTTCCCTTGCCAGAATTCGCAGTTCTCGGTGTGTTCAACAATGGCGGAAACAATTAGCGGAGCTCTCCGTGATGGAGCATTTGAAGGAGAACACGCTTCCGCTCTAAGTATAAAGGATACTATCCACACACCTTTCGGTTCCTTCGTCTTCAACCATGTTCTTACGCAACTCATTTCCAACATTCTCGCGGGTAAATCACAGTCTCGGCCAGTTCACTTATTCACCAAATTTATTACATAATTATCAAACTAATAAAAATGTATTATCATCTTTCGATTGATTTAATAATTTGATAAATTATTTGTTTGATAATTCGTACAGAGGTGTTGTGCTGGTCGCTTTATCTCGGCCTCCATCATTCTATGCTGAACTGTTGAAAATTAAAGGTTTCGACGTTCCTTCATCAAGTCAATAGTTAGAATCTTCCTTTTTTATAGTGAGTAATTTTTACTACTATTATTATTAGAATAGAATCAAATGCGTGATTTTTTCAATTATACTGAAATTTGCTCAGGTAAGAGTGTTAGATTGCTATTCGGATCCTCTTGGATGGAAAAACAAGTTGATGGAGAGAAGAACGGTAAAAAATCCGTATGAAGAGACCTTATTGAAAACGAGTTTATGTAAAAACTTGAAAGAACTGGACAAGGTTTTGTCTTCGATTGTTGAACTTGGAAAAGGTAAGGCTTCGTGAATTTTTGTTAATCTGAATTGTTGCGAGGTTAAGGATTAAAATTATGTTGTGCTTTGGTAAATTCAAGCTGATTTTATTTGTTCATGTGATTGTTGCAGAAACTGCTCATGAATAGGGAAAGGGGAGATTTGCAGTTGCAATTGACTCGGTAATGCCAGTTTTGGTTCAGTGAGCCGAGAGTGGATGTTGCTTATGTGACGTTTGGTTGAATTTCACATCTGGATAATGTAATTTGTCGCGAAGATGTGTATGTGTAGTGATCACTAGACAGTGATCAACCAAAACGTAGTTTGTCCTTAGTTTTGGTTAAGGAAGCTTCTTCATCGTGTAGAAATTTTGGTACTGCATTCACGTTGAAGGTTCTCTTCTCTTAGTACTGCAAAATGGGAAGTCTGACTTAGGCAAAAAACACTTACGCGTTTAATCATAAATTACTACAAAAGGATGAAAATTTATTCTATTCATTTCTCTAAAGAATGAAATATCACTCACATAGGGAACATCGTACTATATCGTCAGTATGTTATCGGTTTATTGGTCCTGCTGTCTATGACGGTTAAAACTGTGTGCATGTCTGCTGAGGAAACTTCCTAGATTTTCCTTAGTTTAGTTCGTCTGCTTGCTTTACTGAACAAATCGGGAAATTCTTTTGTCCCTTAGTTAATGCACATTCAGTATTCAGGCACTTTTATCTGAGGAAACTTCTCAAATTTCTTACTTTAACTACTTCGTTACATCCAATACTAAATCGGAGCTATTATTTTGTTTTGTTACAATCTGCGCGCGTTGCCTAGCTTCGCGGTAGTGGCTATACCAGCTGTTGCCAGTTCATATTGTCTCCATCAACTGATCCACTCAAGGTTTCATTGCATTGCCTAGCTTCGCGGTAGTGGCTTGCGTGAGCTTGTGCAGAAACTGATACTTGAAATAGAAAAGCTGTTATCCACTGTTTATTTACTTGTCTTCGCCAAATAGGAGACGAAATGTTACTTTTTCTGTAGGACTTCGCATTTCGATCATGCTTGAATTCAGTCAAAATAATACCACTAGCTCTGTGGAACTGAACTCTGTTTAGAATGCAATGGTCCATAGCAGGTGCACCTGCTTTTGAAACTTCACTGTACCAGAGTAATTCATTTACATTATCATGATGAAGCCTTTGATATACCACAGGTTTACTTTGTTTAACTTCTCAAAAGATTGCTTATAGCTTTTCATTTTCATCTTCATCTTAAATCGGTTTATAAGCTCGAAAATCATGAATATTACTTGTTTCCACTGTTTCTTTTCTCTTTCTTGAGCTGAGAGTTTATCGGAAAGCCTCCCTACCTTTCCAGGGTAGGGGTAAGGAGACCCACTTATTCAGTTGTTGTTAAGCTCGAAAATCATGAGAGTTTTGAGATAGTTCGTGCAGAGGTAGTATATCTAGAGGCTAATAACCAGAAATGATGAACAAAAGGATTAGCCTTAAGCCGAAGTCTTCCAAAGGCTAATCCTTTTGTTCATCATTAACTTGTAAACTTTGGAATTAGATAAGGATGCACATTGTTCGAATATTAGATTTCGAAATATCAATTGCTCACCTTATCTCCTATTTGAAATGTATTAGACAATTTTTTTTGTCACCTGATATGTAATGTTTCCAAGGCCATCAGTTGAATTGGATAGTTTTGGTTTCTTTCTCCTTTAATAGATCATATATCAAATTGAAACCATGTTAATTATTTCAGTATACAACGTTTGGTTATCTTATATATATGGTTGCAATCTCTAGTCCTATAAACTGCATGGTACTTAAAAAATGAAATATATCCAAAACGTAGATTTCAGTTAGAAACAAATTCAAAAATTTAAATTACTAAATGCAACATAAAGTACGAAATTAGTATAAGTATATACTCCTTTTGTTTCAGTTTATGTGAACCTATTTCCTTTTTAGTCCGTTCCAAAAAGAATGATCCTTTTCTAAATTTGGTAACAATTTAGCTTAAACTTACAATTCTACCCTTAATGGGAAGCTTTTATAACCACACAAACACTCTGGGACCCTTTTTGATTTGTTTAGGACCACAAATTCCAAAAGTCTTCATTTTTTCTTAAACTCCGTGTCCAGTCAAACAAGTTCACATAAATTTAAACTATATAAACAACTCTGACTGGAAAGGTAATGTTGGTTTGTCACTCTCATTGTGGGCATATATGTACAAGTTCAACTTTGAGTCAGTTTAGACAACGATTTTATGTTTATATTTTAAAAAATTAGAACAATAATTGACGTGAATTAATTTCCACTATATTTGTTGTATTCGAACCATATGTACTGCAAGTTGCACAAATGTTGATCAAGAATAAGACTAGATTTTCAACCCAACAATGGCGAATTGGAGTGTGGATTAGATTTGCCTTGGTATATATTTTAATATTCTCTCTATATTTTACTTGGGAAATTATGTGTATGTGACTATGAGGTATAAATTACATTTTTGACAATTATCTTTATCACTTTCGTTTCTTTCGTTTTTTGGTCCTTGTCATTTTCTTACAAATGGTTCTCTCTCTTTTGTGTCGACGTGAAAAGGGTAGAACTCTTCCCCGAATCAACTAAAAGAGAAAATCCGAAAAAAAAAAAAAATAGAAATTTACGAAAAAGCAACCAACTGAGAGCTAATTTAGTATTTACCCAAACATGCAAAGAACGATAATTATCTAAAATTAGCATTTACTCCCAAATAAACCAAAAAAAGAGAGCAAAAAAGGTGAAAAACTTACAGAATCCGCAATGCTAGCAAAAGTCTTGAAGCGGACGAGGAGAGATAGTTTATGGTAAAGTTACGAAAGTGGAACCTTGTCTTGAGGCGGAAAGGCAAAAGCAGGATTTGTGTGCTTAGGGTATCAAAGTGGAAGATAATGGGACACATGGTTTACATTAGAGAATGAAGAGACATGTATATTTTCGATTTTACCCTTCGTCGTCCTACAATCCTTCACTTATTATATAGTTTTAACTAGATGCGGGCTGAAGTTTTATCGAGAATGTGTTGTTATTCACTTACTTTGATATATTAATTTTACAAGACAAAATAAATGTACGTCATTTACCAATAAGGAACCAAATGAAGATTAATATATATCAAAATTGAATATTCATCCATCTTATTGAGCATTTTTGTGGTATTTTTATCAAAGAAAATAACCGCTCAGAAAACTTCCCCACCTCACAAGGTCAGTGTTACCCCTTAGGAAGACAAAGGTCTCTGCATTTATCAAAGCTATCCATCATAAGGATGCAAATATGGCCATGTCTAGATAAAATGTTAACTTCACAAAGCAGCAAAGTCATCGTAAAAGGCATGGTTCAATCGTGGTTGCGTCGGTTGAACAAGCAAACAAAAAGTGTGATGATATAGCCAAATTGTAAAACAAAGCAAACTCTTAATAAATTAAGCAAGTGCTAAGACTACCTAAATGTAAATACTTAAATGCTCATAATACATTTATCCCAAAAAATATTTAAAGAAACAATCTTTACAGAAATCAGTGCGTCTTTGTAAAGGGATCTCCCTTGGAAAGGAGAAAGACCACAAAGGCACTTAGCAGTAGTGATTTGGAGCAGTAACCAAAAGAGCATCTCCTTGTGTTCACAGAACATCTGTGAAAAATTGACAGTTTACGTAGTTCTCAGTTTTGACACGAGAAGGTTTCTCGTCTATACACAGTAATTCGAGCTTCAGTCTTTTCTACAAAATCGAAAGCCGAAAAGATGAAAGATGAAAGATTATGTACCCATCAGTCTTGGATACTCACCTTAGACAGTTTCATCTGGTTACGAAGAAAAGTTTTTATCCGTAGAGTTAAGGTCTCTTTCTTGAAGATTACCCGTCTGTAGATAATTCCTGTCAAATGACACAAATATATTAATAAAAACATATGTGAATGTTTCGTATCAAAGTTAAGCATAAACCACAGAAACACAATTAACTACTTTCCAGACAATAATATATGCAATTAGTCAGCGCAAGTTACCGAAGGATGAGTAGACTGTTGCGTAAGCCAAATGTATATAGTGTGAATAAGTCATAACTACTATACTAAAAATTATGACAGCCACCAAATAATAAATAAGATAATAAATCAACGATAAAAGGAACACCAGAATTTACGAGGTTCGGCCAACTTTNTGTTGCGGAAGCCAAATGTATATAGTGTGAATAAGTCACAACTACTATACCAAAAATTATGACAGCCACCAAATAATAAATAAGACAATAAAACAACAATAAAGGGAACACCAGAATTTACGAGGTTCGGCTAATTTTGCCTACTCCTCGGACACAACCAATATTTTATTCCACTCCAAAAATACAAGTGAAATAATACTAAAAAGAGAAGATACAAATGCCTTAAACAGTGAGAAGGCAAATGAGAGGTGTGTTTAAATCCTAAACATTAGGCCTTCTTTTATAGGGGAAAATCCCCCCAACTCTACTTCTCAACTGATGTGGGACAATTTGACATCTTCAACAAATCTCCACCTTGGCAAAATTACACATCTTCAATTCTCTCTCAATAATAAATTTTGGTTGTGTCTTCATCTTCAATTTTCAGTGTTCAACAATGTTGATCAAATCCAAACAATGTTGAAACTTGATCGTAGTCACCACTTTTGTCAACATATCAGCAGGATTCTCCGTAGTATGAATTTTCTTCACTGTGACTCCACCTTCTTCTATAATTTCTCGTACGAAATGATACCGAACATCAATGTGCTTCGTCCTTGCATGATAAACTTGGTTCTTCGCCAATTGAATAACACTTTGACTATCACAAAAGATTGTGATACTTTTTTGTGCAACACCAAGCTCCTTTAGCAATTCCTGAAGCCAAATTGCTTCCTTCACAGCCTCTGTAATAGCCATATATTCTACCTTTGTTGTAGACAAAGCAACTGTTGACTGTAAAGTAGACTTCCAACTAACTGGTGCCTTTGCAAAAGTAAACACATAACCAGTAGTTGATCTTCGTTTGTCCAGATCACCCGCAAAATCTGAGTCACAATATCCAACTACAGACTGATTGTCTTCCTGCTCAAAAACTAACCCGACATCTACAGTATTATGAATATACCGTAGAATCCACTTCACAGCTTGCCAATGCTCCTTCCCTGGATT